ATTCAGTTAAAACGAATTTTAATTTCAAGTTTTAATCAAAACCTCAGCGTGTGTAGCTGGGAATAGAATCTGCCTGACATATGGGCTGAGAAGACCCTGCACACAAATGGACGCAGCAGCGTACACACTGCTAGGAGAACAACTGGCAGACAGACCCGAAGTAACGGGGTTGAGCACAACAAATACCAACCTCAAAATACAGATTTTGGTACCGGCTACAGACAACGCGAACGTTAAGATCTTGGTATAGCTGCGCATCTGCAATCTTCGTACGAGGGTGAACGCATAAACGCCATGATGTGACAAGGCTCGAACGGCACAGTTTTGGTAACGCACGCTTAGAAAAAAGTGCAATATTCGTTGGCATGAACACCAATGCCCGCTGGCAATCTTTTTGACCTTGATGCTTAGTGCGTGTCATCGAAACCTTTCGGCTTAGCCGTCTGTGTTTTGGACACCCGCAATGTTCGTGGTGCGTGATGTTCGTGGTAAATAACTTCCTAACCTACTGCTCGGTACTGGTCTTCGTAACCTTCCGGCTTATCCTATTTCCTGCAGTGCTTAGTTCACAGCTGTGTATTGAGTGTTACGATGAATAAGCCCGAATAGCTACTCCGACAGTTTTTTTTTGCAACGTTGCCGTAGCAATTTCTAAGTGCACGCCTTTTTTGACTTTTTTTGTGCTCGATTTCGCTTGACCGTATGCACTTGTGGTCAAAAGCGTAGGTTTGAAATACCAGCTATTAACAACGCAACCAATATTTGCTCGATATCGTCGCTTAACCGGCACCTCCTGGCGCAACAAAGATCGGAAATTGCCAGCAAGGGTTAATGAGCTCAGAATTCCTACACAATATTCGTGCCTTTTGCCACCATGAAGTATCAACGTTGCATATACTTGCAAGCATTGTTTTATTATTTCTTTCTGCAACATTTTGCAAATGTGATGATTGAAAAAATCCCTCATTTCACAGCAAACTTTTGGTTGAAACTTGACGACACAAGACACTTTGTACGTGGTGGTGTTCCAATTCGTTCATGGCTTCCTCTTCTCCGCCATTTACCAGTCGTCTTACTCCACACAGGCTTATATTGCAAACGGTCCACGAGAGTTTGGCTGCACAGGTTTGACGGCCTACACCACGGACCCGTCGCATCGCAGATGACGTGTTTCAGCGCAGAGTGCAACACGGGGAGCACGGGTCTCGCTGATCCCACTGTTAGTCGACGTTGAGCGAGTCACATATGAGCTGCGAGTCCGTCCGGGACTGCCACCTGTGCCCAACCATCACTGAGACCGCCACCTGTGCCTAACCGTCACTGGGACCGCCACCCGTGCCCAACCGTCACTGGGACCGCCATCCGTGCCTAGCCGTCACTGGGACCGCCACCCGTGCCCAACCGTCACTGGGACCGCCACCCGTGCCTAGCCGTCACTGGGACCGCCACCCGTGCCCAACCGTCACTGGCCCGCGTCCGGTCGGCACGCGGCATGGCACAAGATAGGGCTTGGTGTTTGCTTCCCGGCCCGCCACCGCCCGCTTCCAGTGTAACCCGAGCGGCGGCAGGCCCCACCGACCACCAGCGCGTCAGGGACCCGGCGGAATAGCAGCTGCCACCTCCATAGAGGACGCTCGGGTACCAAGCGGGCCGACAGCTGCCACCTCTACAGAGGACATTGTCGGGCAGTCCGGCAGCTGCGGCCGAACCCCAGACGCCAGCCAGCCCCGACACCACCTCGAGCGGACTCCCCGGCCCGGGCAGTACACACACGCTCACGGGCAGGGAAGCCGCCGGGCGACCGCCGCCGACCGCTAGGTGAGGCGTGACCAGCACCGCACCCAGACACCAGTCACCAAACCCCGTCCGCGGCCCACACCCCGTCCCGCGACCAGACGTCAGAAGACAGCCAGCCGGTCTCCGCCCCCCTGTACAGATCAGTACGAGACGCGCATGACACCACCGGTACCTAGTAAAGGTGTGGCGGCTCCCAAAGAGATTATATACACCAGCCCGGAAAATAATAGCCGTGGTTAGACGGCATCTACAGAAACAAATCACTGCATGCAGACTAAGGGCAGATACACAGCAGTAAAAGCTCCGCCAAAGTTAGTCTGCTCGCATAAACCATCGTCCTTGTTGCAACTCCCAGAAACCAAGCCAGCAACACCAACAAAACGCCACGCTTTGTAAGCATACCTATAAACGCATTAAAACACCCTGCGCCGGCAGTTCAACGCCCGTCACAGCCCAGAACTGAGACTCTAGTAAAATCGCATGAGAAGCATAACACAAACCGAAAGTGTTACGTTCCAAAAGATCATGTTCGCGATCGGCAGTGACGCACTAGCGCCGTATCGCCGCAGCGACTGGCGGTGGGAGCGCACCGGAGGGCCGGGAGACGCCACGGGTCTACCCCACAGACCGGCCGGCCGTCGCCCTCCCCCGCCCGAGTGGCGCGGCGCGGCTCGGCTCGACTCGGCGGGGCAGACCCGGGGGCGCAGCGCAGGACCCGCTGCACTCGACAAACGGTCCGCAGTAGCACCGTCCACACAATTACTCGGTTCAGAGTACAGTAAGGCTCGGCGGCAATGCGGGTACAAAGTCCCGTGTCTAGATGTCACCATTCGGCCGACAGTAACAACGTGCGTTATTCCCGGCCAACTAGCACCACAGCATGATCCTTGATGATTCAGACGATTGACATTTGTGTTCAGTGGATACAAGGGCCACTCGTTACGTACATCGGTGCTCCGACCGCCACGGACATCGGAGCGGCGATTGTTTCAAAACAGCCCAGTAGCCGACTGGACCGTTGGAAGCACTTGCGACCCGTACTCCACGGCCTGGACACCGCTCGTCGCTGAGCACCCATGGAGGTGCCGCGTCCGCCCTCCCCTCGCCTCGATACACCCTCAATCTTTCCCGTAACGCCCCGGGAGCCGGGCGCAGCTCCCCAACACAGCAACAGACACCAGGGAGACGTCTCGTTGTGACCTAAGCAGTCCGGGGGAGGGGAGGGATCCCACCCAGCCCCGGCTGCGGTGGCAGCGCCGCCCCATGGGCGGGCGATTAGTACTCGAACGTGATGGTCTTGGTCTTGAGATATTCCTGGAGAGCCTCCTCGCCTGTGGGAGGGCGCGGAGCGATGTCATCTCATGCGCAGGAACTATCCGCGGTGTCAAGAGTTACGACAAGTGAACACTCAAACCCCCATGGGCCGTCTGTGATGGACCAACTCCAGCCATCGCGCCGATCAACCGACAGGGTGAACTTCAGTCACTTCGGAGACGACCATCAAGTATAGCACATACACAAGTCATTCACGACAGACAAGCCACACACCAGATGGAACATACACTGAACATTCCGATTGCCACACGTAACGTCCGACGCGGGACAGCTCCTACACATCCAACCCTGCGAAAGGCGCCTGAGCTTGCGCCGTGCGAGCCGCGCCTGTCGCCAGCCGGCTACCGCTCACCGAGGTCCTTGCCGAAGCCGGACTGCTTGAAGCCGCCGAAGGGGGCGGCCACGTCCGTCTTGTTGTAGGTGTTGACGAAGCAGGTGCCGGCGTCCAGCCGGTCCGACACGTACAGCGCCTTGTTGATGTCCCGCGTGAAGACACCGGACGCCAGGCCGTACTCGGTATCATTAGCCCGACGCACCACACCCTCCACGTCGCTGTGGGAGGAGGAGGGGGGGAAGGGGTGGTCAGGCGCAGCCAGAGGCGGCTCCTCAGATCAGGTCGTGCCGGATCGAGTCAGATAAGCACGGCCACACGGCTTCTCAGGTCAGATTAGGTCACGCACGGCCAGGCCGCTCTCGAGGCCCCGTAAGGTCAGGTCAGGTCAGGTCAGGTCAGGTCAGGCCAGGCCAGGTCGGGCAAGATCCTCTAACGGCAACACTGAGATTCAGCAGGCCTTCGGCAACTGTGTCCCCCGCCCAACTTCGTCACCGGTCGCTGACCTTTGTGCAACAGCTACCGTCGGCACACGCGATGACACTACGACCAGCTGAGAACGCTACCGACACTGACGCTTGCAACCAAGCACCGGTGGCGACGCCACACAACAGCCTATAGGCAACAGATGACGGCGGAACGACCTTTACACTATACACGCCAAACTTGGCATCCTTCCCACCCAAACACGTCCTGTGTGAGACAAACAAGCGGGGTCAAGTGGTGGGCGTTTGCGTAAGTGCGGCCCGGTCGACTGACGTCAGGAGGCGGCCGACAGCTGCGGGCGAGCTGAGGCCGACAGCGCGGGGGCGGCGCCCCGAGAGCGGGGCGGCACTCCACCCACGCAGCCCACGTCACGACAGTCCGACACACGCACGACAGCACAGCCAGCCTACTCACGTCACCACGGCACCGACGTCCCCACAACGGCACAGCCGGGTCAGACGTCTACGCGCGCGCCTCCCTCTCCTTCCTCCCACCCCTTCGTTCCCTCCCTCTAGTCCCTCACGTATCTGTAGCAGCTTGGCAGATTACATTTGATGGCTTGATCTACACTTGTTGGTCAGATTGCGGCTTATCAAGCCCTATTTCCATTCCCCTCAGGAAGTTGCAAAAAAGAACAAACCAACACGCAGAATCCTACCCGAACACAAGCACACCACACTCGGATGCGAGGGGGCACACATGCAGGCCATTGCGACCACAACCGACCGTGCTGCCTTACCCCTCAGCGAACTTGGAGAGGACCATGATGGGGCCGAAGGACTCCTCCTTAGCCACGAACATGTGGTCCTCGACGTCGGCCAGGACGGTGGGCTCCATGTAAAGGCCGGGCCGGTCCACCTGCTTACCTCCGACCACCAGCCGGGCACCTGTCGGATGGGAAGGGGTCACGACAGGTCACCACGGTCACCGCAGAGCACAAGATACAGCCGGTGACACACGGTCAACGCAGAGCGCATGATACAGCCGGTGACACACGGTCAACGCAGAGCACAAGATACAGCCGGTGACACACGGTCAACGCAGAGCACATGATACAGCCGGTGACACACGGTCACCGCAGAGCACAAGATACAGCCGGTGACACACGGTCAACGCAGAGCGCATGATACAGCCGGTGACACACGGTCAACGCAGAGCACAAGATACAGCCGGTGACACACGGTCAACGCAGAGCGCATGATACAGCCGGTGACACACGGTCACCGCAGAGCACAAGATACAGCCGGTGACACACGGTCAACGCAGAGCGCATGATACAGCCGGTGACACACGGTCAACGCAGAGCGCATGATACAGCCGGTGACACACGGTCAACGCAGAGCACAAGATACAGCCGGTGACACACGGTCACCGCAGAGCACAAGATACAGCCGGTGACACACGGTCACCGCAGAGCACAAGATACAGCCGGTGACACACGGTCAACGCAGAGCACATGATACAGCCGGTGACACACGGTCAACGCAGAGCACATGATACAGCCGGTGACACACGGTCAACGCAGAGCACAAGATACAGCCGGTGACACACGGTCACCGCGGAACACAAGATACAGCCGGTGACACACGGTCACCGCAGAGCACAAGATACAGCCGGTGACACACGGTCAACGCAGAGCACATGATACAGCCGGTGACACACGGTCAACGCAGAGCACAAGATACAGCCGGTGACACACGGTCAACGCAGAGCACAAGATACAGCCGGTGACACACGGTCACCGCAGCGCACAAGATACAGCCGGTGACACACGGTCAACACAGAGCACAAGATACAGCCGGTGACACACGGTCACCGCAGCGCACAAGATACAGCCGGTGACACACGGTCAACGCAGAGCACAAGATACAGCCGGTGACACACGGTCACCGCGGAACACAAGATACAGCCGGTGACACACGGTCAACGCAGAGCACAAGATACAGCCGGTGACACACGGTCACCGCAGCGCACAAGATACAGCCGGTGACACACGGTCAACACAGAGCACAAGATACAGCCGGTGACACACGGTCAACGCAGAGCACGAGATACAGCCGGTGACACACGGTCAACGCAGAGCACAAGATACAGCCGGTGACACACGGTCACCGCAGAGCACAAGATACAGCCGGTGACACACGGTCAACGCAGAGCACATGATACAGCCGGTGACACACGGTCAACGCAGAGCACATGATACAGCCGGTGACACACGGTCAACGCAGAGCACAAGATACAGCCGGTGACACACGGTCACCGCGGAACACAAGATACAGCCGGTGACACACGGTCACCGCAGAGCACAAGATACAGCCGGTGACACACGGTCAACGCAGAGCACATGATACAGCCGGTGACACACGGTCAACGCAGAGCACATGATACAGCCGGTGACACACGGTCAACGCAGAGCACATGATACAGCCGGTGACACACGGTCAACGCAGAGCACATGATACAGCCGGTGACACACGGTCAACGCAGAGCACAAGATACAGCCAGTGACACACGGTCACCGCGGAACACAAGATACAGCCGGTGACACACGGTCAACGCAGAGCACAAGATACAGCCGGTGACACACGGTCAACGCAGAGCGCATGATACAGCCGGTGACACACGGTCAACGCAGAGCACATGATACAGCCGGTGACACACGGTCACCGCAGAGCACAAGATACAGCCGGTGACACACGGTCACCGCGGAACACAAGATACAGCCGGTGACACACGGTCAACGCAGAGCACATGATACAGCCGGTGACACACGGTCAACGCAGAGCACAAGATACAGCCGGTGACACACGGTCAACGCAGAGCACAAGATACAGCCGGTGACACACGGTCAACGCAGAGCACGAGATACAGCCGGTGACACACGGTCAACGCAGAGCACAAGATACAGCCGGTGACACACGGTCAACGCAGAGCACATGATACAGCCGGTAACAACGGCCTCTCCGGATCATCGCGGGGACGGCGGCGGTGACCGCCGACCCCGCAGGTGACCTCGTCACCGCCGGCCTCGGCGCTCTCACGTCACGTACCCTCGGCCACGCCCGTCTGCACGTACTCCAGCAGCTTGTCGAGGTGGGCGCGATGGTTCTGCGGCCCGTGCTGCGTGGACCGGTCCAGCGGGTCGCCGATTGTCTGCCGGCGAGGACATGGCCGTCAGCCGGGCCGGCACCAGATGATACGTGGCCAGCGGACGGCGCGGTGACGTCATTAGCAAGCGGGCAGGCGGAGGCAGGTGAGGCGAGGTGCAAACGAAAGGACGGAACGAGAAGAGCAAATGACTTCACACACAAAGCGGGGCCATGCAGCAAAGGGAGCCAGGCTCGAGAATCAGAAGGTATATTGAGGAGGGTCCGATTGGGTGATTTTTTTGGAAAAAATTGGGTGAATATCACCAGTAAACCAAGAAGCACAAACATAACGTTTTTATATCCTACCGCACTTTGTCGAGTGGCAGAACAAAATTTGTTACTATGAAAACCAGAAGCGCCACTCAAACATGACGTGATTTAAGCGTCTCGAATGTCTAATGCTCACTGTATTAATGTATGCAGTTTTAGGTCCAGTCCTGAATTCGCTCCCAATTGGTGGTGTGAGTCTGTAATGACCAAAATGCGCTACGTGTTATTTTTTCTAGGCAAAGAGCAGCCCAGTGAGACCGCACTGCATGAGAGGCCGGGCACCGTGGGTGCGGCTTCAAGAAGACCAATGGGACCTGAGGCGACGCCAGCAGTGACGCGTTATTCAGGACAGGCTGGCCAAGGCAGAGCTGGGACGGGCCGGATCACTCGACACGTCGCCGGGGCGCACGGGCCGCGTGGCGCGCCATGACCCCGCCACAGCCGGCCGCCGCACCGGCGGGCGTCCCCTGACTAGGCCCGCCGATGTGCGCCGCGGGGGCGTCACAGGTACTCAGATGGTCGACGAACGAACGTGAGGCGGCTCGCATTTCAGGTGCGGAGGCACGCGGCAGCGCCCCTCCTCCTTTCCTCCTGTTCGCGTAGGTCGGACGGGCATGGGCAGCGGGCGCACGCACGTCAGGTGCCCAGTGTTTACTACAATAGTCAGGACTTCAACCCGCTTTGGTATGCCTACAGCAGCACCACCGGGCTCTGTTTCGGAGCCCCCAGCCCGCCTGCGCGCCAGGGCTGACGCGGAGAGTCGCAGCTCACCGACTGGCGCGTGCGACGGGCACGCGTGTACACTCCAAACACTGCCAGTGTCAACTTCAATATCGCACTGGGTCAAGTGGAAGTGAATTCAGCTGTATCCCGAGAGGTAATCACCAAACCACAGCGTTGCCAACGCAACGGAACGCGTTCAGAAACGGCAAAAAATGACAAGGCGCAGCTAGGACACCATGGCACCACAGGTAATGTGTTTAAGAACAATGCCTGGCGAAAGCCAAGGGACACATTCTATTTAGGTCCACTCGCCGCACTAAACTGCACCCTCCCGTCATCATCGGCGCAGGAGACGGCCGCCTCTATCCGACAGCAGGGAGCTGCTACATCAGAGCTGCGAAGGGGCAGATCCAGCACGCAGCTCCGTCGTGAGCCTAAACACCACTCCGACCTCCAAGCAGCGCCGATAACCGTTATGTGGAGCCAGCCTTACCGCGTATTGATGACGTCATGTTTAAGTACGACGATCAAAGCTGGATCAGCACTAAGCGTGTCCGTACCGAGTCCCCGACCGTGATTTCCCAGGCAGTGCGCCGCTACGCTCAGTGGCCCCTCAGCTAGTGCCGTACAGGTCCTGTCCCAGAAGGGGACGGGTGCATCTCGCTCACCATTTTCCCGATCTCCTCGATAATGCGGCGCAGGTACTCGTCGTAGATGGACTCCTCGACGAACAGGCGGCCCGCGGCGATGCAGTTCTCGCCCTTGTTGAAGAACACACTGCTCATGCCCTGCGAACCGTGGACAGAGCCGCCGTCAACGATGAGCGCGGCACGCTGCCGATTGCAAAACGATTGTCGTGGTGCCGGGGACAACAGCCACTCATCTACCGTGCGCGCATCGGTTAGCATAGCGGCATTGCGACCAGGCGATGCCAGGGACGCTCGTCACCAACGTGTTGCAAGATGCGGGCCTGCGTAACTTTCAGTTGGCGATAAGGGACCGCCTGCCTGCTGTTTCCACATCTGGCAGCCCTGCAACTGACGTCACACGTGCACACTCCATCCCTGACACACACACATGCACACTCCTTCCCTGCGGGGCCCGGCACACACAGCTGCTGTCGCTGTCTGCCGAAATAAAACGACAGTCGTCTTGCAATCAATTCTGGCGTTCACAGGTGGCCACCGTCGCCCGGCGCGCCACGCGGCCGTTTTGGCGAACATCCGTCAGGGCACCGCGAAGGTGTTGGCCAAGACCCGTGAACGCAATCAACGTCATTCCACTGGAACGTTCCAACACGCTCCGCAGGTCCCAAACGAACCGAACTCCCACCACGGCAGCCGCACCGCTCACAAACGCGTGGCACCCTCCAGCAGCCTTTCAACATGATGTCCAGACAGCAGAAACGCATTCAAATACAGCTAGGATCCCGCCCACTGATCGGCGGTCAGGGCAGCCCGGGCTTCCGATCGGCGCCAAGCCGCGCAACCCACCATGCGGACGGCCTTGTCCAGGTCGGCGTCGGCGAAGATGACCAGCGGCGACTTGCCACCCAGTTCGAGCGAGGCCTTCTTCAGGTTGGACTCGGCGCACGACTTCATGATGACCTTGCCAATCTCGGTGGAGCCGGTGAAGCCCAGTTTGCGCACCAGCGGGTGGTCGGCGATCGCCTGGCCGCACTCGCCGCCTGCGGAGGAGCATCCCTCAGCTCACTCAGAGGAGAGGCCCCTCAGCTCACTCAGAGGAGAGGCCCCTCAGCTCACCCAGAGGACAGGCCCCTCAGCTCACTCAGAGGAGAGGCCCCTCAGCTCACCCAGAGGACAGGCCCCTCAGCTCACCCAGAGGAGCAGCCTCTCAGCTCACCCAGAGGAGCAGCCCCTCGCCTCACCCAGAGGAGCGACTCTTCAGCGCACCCAGAAGAACAGCCCCTCAGCTCACCCAGAGGAGCGGCCCCTCAGCTCACCCAGAGGAGCGGCTCCTCAGCTCACCCAGAGGAGCGGCCCCTCAGCTCACCCAGAGAAGCGGCCCCTCAGCCCAGCCGGCCACAGACCGTGTCGGTACCGGCCCAGCTATCCAGCAGCCTGTATCGCCGACTGGCATTGCCACTGGATCAACACACGGCAGCAACGGACCCCGGCCCTGCGCTTAGCTGGGCGCCCTGTTGGCGTCCCGACCCTGACCTCGCCCAAAAGGGACCCCGCCTCTATCCACACACAGTCAAGCCCGCTCTCTGCTGCCTGGGTTGACCTATTGGGCTTCGAGACGGTGAGGCTCTAAAACGTTCTTAAGGACTGCTATTTAGCGGGCAGAGAATTAAAGTGCGCGTTCCCCTCCGGGATCAGACGTCCCGGATATTTTCTGATCACAACAACCAAGATTGTAAACTCCAGCCAGCAATGTCCATTGCCAAGAGCCGACCGTGAATATTGTCTGGGAAGCTGTGTTATCCTGAGCCCGCCAGTCTGGCCGGCCAGGGTAACCACATCCCCCAGCGGGCCACTCCAGCCACGGCTACAACCCTACCGTCCTGACCACGTCCCTCAGCCGGCCACCCCAGCGCCAGCGACCTAACCCGCCGTCCTGACCACGTCTCCCAGCCGGCCACCCCAGCGCCAGCGACCTTACCCGCCGTTCTGACCACGTCCCCCAGCCGGCCACCCCAGCGCCAGCTACCTAACCCGCCGTCCTGAACACGTGCCTCCAGCGGGCCATCCCAGCCCCGGCTACATAACCCCGCTGTCCTGACCGGTGTCCGGGGCCTGACCACGTCCCCCAGCGGGCCACCCCAGCCCCAGCCACATCACTCCGCCCTCCTGACCGGTGTCCCGGGCTGACCACGTCCCCCAGCGGGCCACCCCAGCCCCAGCCACATCACTCCGCCCTCCTGACCGGTGTCCCGGGCTGACCACGTCCCCCAGCGGGCCACCCCAGCCCCAGCCACATCACTCCGCCCTCCTGACCGGTGTCCCGGGCTGACCACGTCCCCCAGCGGGCCACCCCAGCCCCGGCCACATCACTCCGCCCTCCTGACCGGTGTCCCAGGCTGACCACGTCCCCCAGCGGGCCACCCCAGCCCCGGCCACATCACTCCGCCCTCCTGACCGGTGTCCCGAGCCTCACCACGTCCCCGAGCGGGCCACCCCAGTCCCGGCCACATCACTCCGCCCTCCTGACCGGTGTCCGGGGCCGGTCGGCCCGACCAGCTCACCTGAGCCGGGCACAACGTTGATGACGCCGGGCGGAAAGCCGGCGTGGACGGCCAGCTCGGCGAACTTGAGCGCCGTCAGTGGCGACACCTGGGCCGGCTTGATCACCACCGTGTTGCCGGCCGCCAGGCAGGCGGCCATCTTCCAGGACAGCATCATCAGTGGGTAGTTCCACGGCGTCACCAGACCGCACACGCTGCCGGCAACGAGCGAGACGTGTGGGCTCAGGGTCCGACCCAACGACACACGGCCAGTCCGACCACATGCAGCGTCCGCCGCCGACGCCATCGACGCCTCGTCCGCTCGGTTCGCGTTTGGTGACGAAGTCTCAGTGGCGGTGCCTCAGCCCATCCGCCCGCGTTCGTCACACGTCACGCGTCACGCGTCTGCGTGTCTCACCCGATCGGCTCGCGCTTGGTGATGGTGAGGTTGTGGTTGGGCCGGGCGTTGTTGATGGGGATGGTCTTGCCCTGGATCTTGTCGCACCAGCCGGCGAAGTAGCGCCACGTGTCGATCGACATGCCCACGTGCGTCTTAAGCGCCAGCGTGTAGACGGCGCCCGAGTCGATCGTCTCGATGGTGGCCAGCTCCTCCTTGTGCTGGTCCATGAGGTCGGCCAGTCTGCGGCGCGGGGCAGGCGCGTCACAGCCGGGGCGAGGCTGGCGGACTCACGGCCGCCGCCGCCGCCAGAGACACGCACGATGCAGAGCGGTGCCAATGCCCCGGCATGGGAACAGGCCTGGTCACAGACACGTGTATGTGTAGCTGTTGGCACATGGGCTGTTACGAGCTGGCAGCAAGACAGCAAAAGCCCATGTTGATGGCGTCTTCCAATCGGTAACCAGCTAACAAATCTGCGTCACAACCCATGGCGCGATATTATACACCGGACTCGAGGACTGTGCCTGCAGCATGCTGCGGTAACTCTCTTAGCTGCCTGGGTTAGACTATCTAGGACGTTTAATGCCAGCTGATACAGTCACGTCGCTCTCATTTTATTGTTTACTTTTTGCGGGCTATGCTCCATACCGGAAATCAATATCTTGAGCGAAGCTTAGTAAAGCGTAACAGATGAGAAGCAACGCCCACGTGCAAAGAAACGCGGTTGCGCGTGTTAGCATAACGCAAACATTAACGCATGCGTGTCCACACGTCCACACAACTTAGTTGCGATCAACACATGTAAGTCATTAAAACACATCGCTAATTGGAACGCTAACGCAGAACAGATCGTATGGTCCACCGGCCTGTATGCAGTCCCTTGGGACGTGGGGTGTAACGATGCCCGACCTATAGATCTACGTCTGTCAACGCCACCTACTTGTACATGAGCGCGCCCCGGTCGCGAGCGTTCATCTTGCCCCATTCGCCTTCGGTGAACGCCACGTGCGCCGCCTTCACAGCGCGGTCCACGTCCGCCGGAGACGACCGCGCCACCTGTTGAACCAAATGAAAAGCTGAGATTGTCCCGGTCTCCGATGCTACTGCTCAGGCGCCTTGACAACACGCACGGCAAATCAACGCAGCTGGATGCAGGTATCCGTTACGAGCCGTTTGGAAGTAGCGCCTGCCTTGTGGTGACTGCTCCACCAACTCAAGGCCGCGCTCTCCTCAATCCTATGAGCCCAAAACACATCGACATTCAGTGAACAGACTGCGACGCGACAACGGGAGGCCGGCGCATATAGCCAATATTTTTAAGGAGAGCGGTACGGTACCTATCACAGATCCCACGCACACCACGAACAGGCAACACCAGCGCGTCTCACCACACAACTCTGAGACCTGCCACACGGGCTAGGTCAACATGGTCCTGAGCATCCCCACTCTCTAGACATCTATAACCTAACATCCAAAAAAGCTCAACTCGCCACTACAATGTGCCCTGGACTGGAATACGTGCCCGCCACATCTGACCGCATTTATCCAGTCCCCGCCCTTTGGACCCTGCAGCAGCTCATCATCCAAAGCCCAAGGGGCTGCCCGGCCCAGCGGAGAGCCCAGTCGAGCCCGCCCCACGCGGCAGCCCCGGGGGCGCCCGGCCCAGCGGAGAGCCCAGTCGAGCCCGCCCCACGCGGCAGCCCCGGGGGCGCCCGGCCCAGCGGAGAGCCCAGTCGAGCCCGTCCCACGCGGCAGCCCCGGGGGCGCCCGGCCCAGCGGAGAGCCCAGTCGAGTCCGCCCCACGCGACAGCCCAGGGGGCGCCCGGCCCAGCGGAGAGCCCAGTCGAGTCCGCCCCACGCGGCAGCCCAGGGGGCGCCCGGCCCAGCGGAGAGCCCAGTCGAGCCCGCCCCACGCGGCAGCCCCGGGGGCGCCCGGCCGCCCCCGGCGGCGCGCGCCACTTACGTCGCAGATGGGCTTCTCGTCGGCCGGGTTGATGGACGTGATCTGACGGCCGGTGGTGCTCTCGGAGAACTCGTTATTGATGAACACCTGCGCGGACAGCGGGCGGTCAGCTCATGGCGCGGCAAAACCTACGCGACTCTTGTCGACAGCCGCTCCACACATCAAACACAGCTCTGCAGAGTCGCGAAACACTCAAGGCGCGATCGTACGTGACATGCCATGTGCCTCAGACGCAATGCCATGCCAACCTATAAAAATAGTATGGCCCGCATTCCAAACGGACATACGGCACAACACGGCTGGTGATGGTGATCGGGGCTTAAGGGAGCGTCGACTACGATGGTCAATTCGCGCCCACAGCTGTTAACTGGCTGACGCGGCGTGTAAATGGCTGACATTCCTGTAAGTTGCAAATGAAAACAATTGACCTGTAACAACCCGAAGAAAGTCGTTGTCAAGCGTATCAGAAAAGATAACAGATGGGAGCATTTTGACTAAAATGAAAAAGGCGCTCTTCGATAAACTCTAGACATGTGCAAATAGTGTTGCAAACGGTGGGTAGCGCATTACGAAAACAACATTGCCGGTCTCCACTACACAACAGGTCGTCGTGAGTCGCATGCGTGTGGGCGATTCACATTCCGCGGTCAGTGCTCCTTGTCGTGCCTTGCGTGAACTCGACTACCATGGGCCTGTGTTTCCCTCATCTTAAGCTCATTGCCTGTCATGCTATTCCAGCAGTGTTGCCATTTGTCTTTTACCCCGCTCGCTATGGCCCGGTGCGAGTCTCTGGCACGAAGGGGCAGGCGGTGTCAACGTGATGCACAGGCCGCTCTCTCTTGCATCTGTATCCGCGGGCTCGTTACTAGCGACACCAGCATGGCTTGGCATCCAACGGAGCACCACCACCTTACCGACGCGATCCGGCATCTTTAGCCGAGCTAAAATATCCTGTGTAAGAGGACATAAAGACGAGGTAAGAGGACGCGTTAAAAGCTTTTAAAGCCAGAGAGCTGCTCAACGAATCCACAGAGTCCATTGCAAATGCTGTCACCAACTTCAATAAAAGAGAGCGTTTTCAGGTTGGTGACAAACTCAGGAAGTGTAAACTGAGGCGTGTTTCGGTAACGAAAAGGACCGCGTAGTGTATCACATACAAGTGCAGATACAGCGCCCACTTCCGTCTTGGAGCCATCTGTGCAAGTACGCTGAAACTCTGCGTACGATGCGATACGCCGCAAGGCCCTGGACCTACGAGCGTGTACCAGCACATCCGTTTTCTGACCGCTGACATAAATAAGTTCACTTTTAGAGTTACTAGCTACCAGGGCGGTGTGTATCATTGGGGCTTTACGACGCACTCAGCTGCTGAGGCTATATGGCGTCGACTGTCTCTCACCCTGTCAGGAAGGGCGGGCACCGCAGGTTTCCGTACCTCTGGTTTCCCAGACGCGTAGTGATTAACGCAGATGCGTTAACTACACCACCGGCACCCCGCTACCAGGGCGGTGTCAATCAGTGATTTGGTTTCGATGCACCCCGCAAACTAAAGCCGCTCGGTCGAAATCGCTTCTTAATAATGACGGCGTGTACGACCCTGTCCACCGTGAGGCAATGTTTCAATGGACATGGAAAAAGTAACGATCGGAGCTCCAGCTCATTTACATTCACACTCATAGGCGCTACCTCAAAGTCCGTGACAAGGGCTTCACCCCTGACAACCTTGAACCCTTGACCTTTGAACATTGACAATCATGATGCATATATAGTGACCTGATGGGGGAAGGAAATATCCATGTTGTTGACGTGCATCTTGATGGCGTCGTAAGTGAACTCTGGTTTAAGGCTGCCGCCGCGAGACACGAAGACCACCGTCTGGACAAAGTCGTCGAACTTGGAGGCCATGAACACGTCCTCGTTCTGCAGCTCAATCCCACTCCTCTGCTTCACATCTTCCAGCAGCCTGCAACACGCAAAGCACCAGAAATCATGACCCAATCCCTAGTTTTTCCGGCTGCAACCCACCAGCACTGCAGCCGGACAGGCAAACCAACAACGAAGATAAGCGAAATATCGTCGGCACAACTTTACGTCACCGAATCGCCTACCTGACAACGTCCATGCTGCCGGCGCCGGCGGCGAAGAAGTCGGTCTCGTCAGCCACCTCGATCTTCAGGATGTCGGCCCAGGTGCGCCGGAGCGCGTCCGAGAGGGCCTGCTCCTCGGCGGTCAGCTCCAACCGCTCACGCGCCTCCTCCGCCTGGCCGTACCGGGCCGCCTGCACCATCTTGCCTGCCACAGAGAGCCGCGCCACCGACACCTGCCGGCAGGTCGCAGAAGCTCACGCTCGCCGCACTGCGCAAACGTCCGAAGAAAACACCGTACGGCTCAGACACAAGCCACACGGTGCAGCCATCTGCAGATACCACCACATGGCTCACACACCACGGTACGAGCCGCACGGTACAGCCATCTGCGCATGCCCCCACATGGCTCAGACACCACGGTACCAGCCGCACGGTACGGCCATCTGCAGAAACCATTGCGTGACTCATACACAAGCCGCACAGTACAGCCATCCGCAATAATCGCCGCGCTGCTCACACATCTCACTTATCACTGATGGCTGCCGGCCCCACCTCAGCACCCTCACGCATCTCACACGGCTGACACGCGTCGCACGTGGCCGACACGCATCTGACAAGGCTGACACGCGTCTCACGCGGCTGACACGCATCTGACACAGCTACCACGCATCTCACACGGCTGACATGCATCTCACACGGCTGACATGCATCTCAAACGGCTGACACGCATTTCACACAGCTACCACGCATCTCACACGGCTGACACGCATCTCACACGGCTGACACGCGTCTCACGCGGCTGACACGCGTCTGACAAGGCTGACGCGCCCGTCGTGAGCGGGGCCAAATGGCTACATGCATTAACCCCGCGACACCGCCACACCGCCTGCGACCTCAGCCCCAGGCCACGCGGTCACGGCTGCGTCGCTGGGCGGCACGCACCATCTTTCCGTCGGATCCGGTGAGGATCAGCCCATGGGAGCAGATGACGCCCGGGCGGTCGCAGCCCTCGATGGCCACCTCGGTGCCGTCGGGCCGCGCGCCCGAGAACCGCTTCGATCCGTACAGCTTGGTCTCCTGCCCATCCATCACGATCCACGCACCTGTGAACCCACGCCGGTGATGTCTCCGTTCTCAGCCCCCCCCCCCCTCGTCAACCAATCCTCTTAAAATTGCACAGCCTAACATGGTTTGCAACGCGATGAGTCAGTCATCTAAAAACAGAACTACGTGAATTTGGAAGGTAACAAAATGCTACATTCTCTTAGAGCAGTCATAAGTTTAACAAACCGTATCTAAGCATTTGAGCGCGGTCCAGGCCCCCAGAGCTGAGGGAGATATGCGCGGATCCACCTCACGGGCAGACCCCTCTATCGGCGACTAGCGGCCATGTAGGGAACACGAACACCCGGCTGACCTCTGTAGCGACCCAGCGTCTCGCTGGTCGGGCCACGGAGCCAGAGCGCCACCAAAGACGCTGCACCTATGTAGGCCGTCAAACTGACCACAGGTCGACCGGCTGAGTCGGGCGCCGGCTCGGCCGAGCTGCCAAGCGGCCGGGGAGAGCTGCCGGCGGGCACCGGCCGGCCCATCAGCGGCGGCGCCCACGCACCCGGCGAGAGCTGCCGACGAGCACCGGCCGGCCCATCAGCGGCGGCGCCCACCGCACCTGGCGAGAGCTGCTGACGGGCACCGGCCGGCCCATCAGCGGCGGCGCCCACGCACCCGGCGAGAGCTGCCGACGAGCACCGGCCGGCCCATCAGCGGCGGCGCCCACGCACCTGGCGAGAGCTGCTGACGGGCACCGGCCGGCCCATCAGCGGCGGCGCCCACGCACCTGGCGAGAGCTGCTGACGGGTACCGGCCGGCCCATCAGCGGCGGCGCCCACGCACCTGGCGAGAGCTGCTGACGGGCACCGGCCGGCCCATCAGCGGCGGCGCCACGCACCTGGCGAGAGCTGCTGACGGGCACGGCCGGCCCATCAGCGGCGGCGCCCACGCACCTGGCGAGAGCTGCGAGAGCGGGCTGACCTGGCACGTCGTCCGGCCATCAGCAGGCGGCGCCCACGCACCTGGCGAGAGCTGCTGACGGGCACCGGCCGGGCCCATCAGCGGCGGGCGCCCACTCACCTGTCGAGAGCTGCCGACGAGGCATCGGCCTGGCCCGTCAGCGGCGGCGCCGCACGGCAACCTGGCGAGCTGGTCAGGCCGCGGATAAAGTTGTGGATCTCCTCGGCGGGGGACACGTTCCAGCTCCAGCCGCACCAGCTCCTTCTTGTTGGGAATGGATCATAGGTGGCGCCCCTCCTCTGGCTGCGTCTCGCCGCGGCGCCGTGGCCCGCCGACACGCGGTTCACCGCGTCCGCCTGACGAGCGCGGCGGGTCAGCCGGTCAGGTCAGACGTCGGGTGAGGGTCAGGCCAGGTCAGGTGAGGTCACATGTCAGCCAAGTCAGGCCGCGTCACGTGGAGGTGAACTGCCCGGAATCGGATCATATACACCGGCTGGCCACGTCAGGTCACGGGGTCATGCATCGGCCTGGCCAGGCATCCGTTCCTCGACTCGATCAGGCCAGGTCCACTGCGCCGAAGGTCAGCTGTCTGACAACATGTGTACCATGGACAGTGCAGCTGCCGCGTCATTTCGACAGGCCGGATTTCACGCATTTTGTCGCAGTCCGCTGGGCGCGCCGAGGCATGGCGCGGCGCGGCACTCACCATGGCCTTGATACCCTCGGGGTACATGAACTTGTTGTAGAGCGTGTCGACGGTGTCGTCCGGGTCGACGTCGCAGGCCTTCTGCGACAGGATGGGGCCCGTGTCGAGGCCGTCATCCGCCCAGAAGATCGAGAAGCCGGCCTTCTTGTCGCCGCACATCAGAGTCCTGTGTCATCGGATCAGCCGTCGGAGTCCGGAGTCCGGAGCACCACCGGCGACGGCGTCGACAGCGGACCGACGCGCGCCGCAGACACATGACGTCACAACAGACGACAGGCGTGTGACATCGCGGGTCAGACGTCCGCAGGAGCTGAAGAGCCGGCAGCGCTGGGCGAACGACCTTGAGGGGCTGGGACTGACCAGGACGCTGGGATGGCGGCAATGGGCTTATGGACTGTAGTTGCCAGCTACGTTCATGCCAAATTCAGTAAGTTGTTGTACTGCTGCACTTGAAATCCTTTCCTAATTCTTATAGCACAGCTCACTTCTACTCACTAATTTGTTTTCCTACCCACGTTGTTAGGATCTTTCTCAATCCCTTACTCCACATTTTTTTTTTAGGAAAGGTACCTTGCATTAGGCTCTGCGTTTTCCTACACCCTCCCGTAATTTGCTTACACACTCGCAGCATTCGTGAAGAGCAATGACATGGCGGCGCCCATTCAACATGAAACAATACGCTGAACGGAGGAACAATACACTGAACGGAGCAAGTAATGTAATTCCGAAACGTGTTCTTTCACTAATTATTCCCTGACTTGGCCTGTCTCAATGAGCTCTGACATTTCGTGGCAATTGCTTTCTCATCCCACGACAGACGGTCCGAATACAATACTGAAGCACCTCACTAAATGGGGAACAAGTGTCCTAGCATTTCACACAATACGTCAGCGATATCACAGTGACGCCTCTTGGCTACGCGCAAACACAACATTTTATCAAACTGTCCCTAGTGGACGGTTTTTCTGATCTTTTTTCGTCGGCCATGAGCGTTCAAGGTGTCATAAAAACCGCCATCCTTGGCCGCTTTCTATCGCGCAGACGGGCAAAAACCTCCCCAACCAACGGCGGCGTCAGACAAAAACTGGAACCGTCTGCTACCCGACAATTCACCGCTTGTCCGGACCACCGCGGCGGCAGCAGCGTGTACACATGCAGCGAGGAACATCGGCAAAAACCGAAACATGCAGGCTCTGGTAATGGGACCAAACCCTGCCATTGTTGCGGTCAAGGTAAACACCCCTCACGGGCTTCAACGTTACGAGGCATCGGTTAACAAGTGAGCTTAACATTGAAGCTGAATTGTGCAATATTAAAAAGCAATGCAACAGAACACCAGCAAGCTTAACCTTGGTCACTGCCACCGCGGCCGGCCGACGACCTCTGACCCTCTGAGCGGGCCCGTACCAGTTGATGGAGCTGGCGCCGCGATGGCGCGGGAGCAGCGACGGGTGGTAGCAGATGCTCTGGTGGCGCGGCGCGTTGATCACCTCCATCGGGATGAACTGGCTGCAGAAGGGCAGCACGTTCAGCTCGGCGTTCACCGAGTTGTACTTCTCCAGCACCTCGGGTAGCGCCACGCCCTTCTTCCGCCACGACTTGAACTTGAACACAGGGACGCCGTCGGCGGCGGCCGTGGTCGCTGCCGGACGGAGGGCGGGTCAGAGTCGCCTCCCGGTTCCCCGACCTCGCACGCACGTCACGCGGAGGGGTGCCACGTTTGTCAACACTGGAGAAAGCTGGGGCCAGCAGAGACTGGCTCCGGCACGAACTGCATGCTAAGTCGGTGGACTTTCCTTCAGCCTTACATACGTACGAATCTAGCAGTCAGGATTTCTATACCAGGGTACCAGCGGCGGGTACTAAACTAGCACCGAAGATACCAGTGCGGCGCCTAAGCTGGCGATGTCGGGACTGTACCGGGACCACAGGCTGTCCGCCTGTGCTCGATGCACTGAAAGCTGGCAACAGTGACCACAACAGCCAAACGCTGCTGACCCCAGGCAGGAAGTCGATGACTCTTAAGTTTTTTTCTTTATTGCCGAAAATCTTGGACTTACATTGCTCCCCAGATGTATCATGCATTCGTTGGTTAAAAAGTGTCCAAAATGTTTTGGCGACAAAAATGTACTACAAATTATGTTTCATTTGGAGCACTAATATTTCATAGGTTTAACTATGGACCGAATCCATGTAACTTCATGCGTAGATTTTATCCCATATAATTCCATTTACGGCAAATGTGTACACTCATACACGTGGGCGAGACAAGTAGGTAGGGAGCACTCTTGTTATTTTACCCTTAGGTATGACGCAGCCTCGAAACAAACACCAATGCAAAGCTCGATACCTCAGGAATCCAACAATTTCCGGTTTTGGCCCGTTCAGGTCAAACAGCAACGTTGCAGTCGGAGTGAACACCAGTCGTTCAAAATGATAGTAAGGAGCGCCAGCTATCGACTACATTGGTAGGTGTGGAGGAGGGGGAGGGTGTCGGCAGCCTGGATATTTAATGCCTTTTCACAGCCCATACTTTATTGCAATTCGTATAATCGTAATGCCAAATTAGCCAATTCTTGGAACCCCGCATTCTTGTAGCGGGGCCGAAGCCAGGCGTCCATCAATTTGCCAAGGTTTAAGTCACGTTCCACAAACGGCATGCCAGGAACGCCATTGCGTCATTGCCAAATTCATTTCATATTGTCCAATTCAGTCTGCCACTCAAGTGCGAAACGATGACTGAGAACACCCTACTCAAAGTTTTCATTGCACGACACATTAATTGGAAAAAGGAATGGTCAAAATGCGACCTTGTGAAAACTGAGCGCTATGCAGTCAAACGTGATAGGGCGCCGTGTTACTAGAGTTCAGATCAGCGGCTGCGGAGAGGTTACCCCCCCCCCCCCTACCCCTTCCCAAGACGTAAGTCTCTACAGCATCTTCATTTCTTCGTAAACACAGCGAATGGAAAGGTTAGAAACGTCCCGTGACGACGGAGTCCTATGCTATTCTTCGGCAATGAGCACACCAACCACGACACACCGGGGAACGGGAACCTCGACACGCCCACCAGGACCAGCCGAACCCCAGAATACGACAGACAACTATGAGATCATGGAGCCGTCTGCGGGGAGTAATACGAGACATGTTGCATCAGGCCCTCAGCTCCGGGCCACGGGGGCCGTTGCCATGGGCACATGACGGCGCTGCCTGGCCGGTAGCCCGGAGGACCGATCGGCTCCAGCCCAACACCGCAAAGCTTATGACCAGGCGCCCGCCGGCCCAGCGGCGTCCGCAGGACTCCGCTCGACCCACGGGGGAGCTGAAATCGCCGCCGACAGGCCAGCGCCGTATCTGTGCCGCTCCTGCACGGCAATGCTTCAATGTTCCACCCCGTGGTAACATCGAGACATCGCAAGGAAATAACATGCGACTTTAAGATTGAATAGCGTTCCTTGACCGGACGGAGCGTAACGACGCAAAAGTCCTGCTGGCGGGTCTCGATGCGGCGCAGCTACCGATCTGTTTATAACGCGCGCCACGCCCACCACTAGACGCTGACACGTCGGATGTGATAGGCCACGCCGCCAGCGCGCCCGCACACCAGGGGACGGCGATAAACAAATAACTGCGTCATGGCTATTCATTGAGGACCAGTTTGGTGGGAAACTATCGGGATTACGGACGTTTTGCACGGCCCCTGTATGCCCCGTGTATGATTGCTCCGTCGGCTTTTTCAAGTCAGTGCAATCAGTGCATCGATCAATCAGTCAAAATGACGTGCATCTCGCCCTCGTATCCATGGCGAACCAGATCGTCCATATCTGTTCGTTTGTCGTTTCGCGAGGTTTCGGTCAGATCTGACGATCAGCATCGGGTTGACGACAAAGCGCCGACACGTGAACGCGGTCTTTTCCTCGCCGCGACGCTTAAACCCACGTGCCACCAACATCTCGACTGGATTATCCGATCGGAGCCAGACGGCAGCTCCGCGAAGTGCCTCCGGTTGGTAACCCCGCACCCGGTTGGCGCAGGTGCCATGACACTTCAAGGCCAGTCGCTAGATCGCAGTAACCAGTAAAAACCGGACTCGACCGGATCGGGCTGGTCTGGTCTGGACCGCCCCACCGACAGCCATGGTCACCGAGATTCAAAGCGCTCGTGCCACAGTATAATATGCAAAGTCAATGCGTTTGTAAAATGCATCGAACGACAGCATACAGGACATCTTGGATTAATGCATTGCATAGACAAGTTAGGGTGGGACACGAATCTCGTTAAAATGCGTCTACAAAACTTTCCACACCACGCAAACGACGAAGTCCTATTCGATTACTGCAACTTACGGGAATTTCTGCTAGCGGAATGTGATTTATAGTGAGACTGTCTAGACAACAGCATGTCTGATAACAAAAAAAATCGAACTACATGCTACGGCTAAAGCGAGCATGTAGTTCGATTTTTATTTAGCATTCGATTAGCATTGTCCCTCAGTCACATGTCAAAGCCCCGTCGGGAAGACGCGCATACCCTTCTACACGCATACACTTCGAGCGCACATTAAGATTGCATCGCACAAACCAAAACATCGCATGCGCCACACATTTGACAGCTACATGATATATACACCATCAGCGTAGTGCGAGATAATTACTGCAAGCCGTTCATGACTGACAATCAATCAGAACAGTCGCAACTCCTCGCCCTGGGACGGGACCGAGCTGCCCATGTGGCCTCCCTGTGGGGGGGGGGGGAGGGGGAGGGGGCGCAGCGTCCTGGGTGTCCGTGCTGCGTTCACGGGCCGAACCAAGACAGGTCGACCACTGCTTACGGCAGGAAGAACCCCGACTCTTTCCCGACTTAGGACGGAAGGATCGGCGTGCTGTCTTGCTGGTGAAAATCGTACTGACAGGACACTCGACTTTCCTAAATGCCTTCATAACAAACACGCGAGTGCACGGTCAAAGACCCAAATGTATACGCTACACTGCTGGACCGCGGTCAGCACTCACAATTACGCACAAATTTCACCGATGTCAGGGACAGAAAACGGAAACCGGCCATGGAAACCAAGTCCATACCGTCCTCCTCCTCGCTGGAGCTGTATGAGGACACCCGTCTGCACCCCGTGCAGGCGGGCGGCCACCGGGCCCTCTCGGACTCACCGACCGGGTCCTCCCGGGAGCCCTGGTCGGGCACGGTGAACACGCCCACCACCGTGTGGCCATCCTTCCGCAGCAGCTTGTACACCTCGCCGGCGAACGTGCTCTGGCCGATAATGGCCACACGAAGCTTCTCACAGCTCTGTGGAAACCAGTGAACAATGTCATCTTCAGGTTTACACATGCTCGAAGTTGTAACACAAAAGGTGTCTGCGTTAACCGCTGAACGTCTGGGAAGCCGGAGGTTCGGGGTTCGATTCCCCGCGGTGCCGCCCTTACCACCAGGGTGAGAGGCAGGCGACGCCATATAGCCTCAGCAGCTGAGTGCATTGTAAAGCCCCAATGACACAAGTTCCAACATATGTGATAACGTCCTCTGACAATGATTCAGGACGCTGCTTGGGAAACTGAGGGCTCAAGAAATCCATGTTTCAGTGTTCATAACAAAACAATGTGCAGCATTGCTCACAAAGTACAACTTATTACTTGATGGCAAGGGTGACTGTCCTTTGTGCTACAGTTCCTTTTAGACTGGGTCAGGTGGGTGGCAGAGTGAGAGGTGGGCCAGCCCAGCATACTGGATATGATACTTTTCTTTAGGAATTAAAGGTGGGCAGCACATAAATACCCACACCCACAGTTGGCTGGGCCTGACACTTTGTGTCTTTTGCCAGTTGGTTTCTGAAGAGTCAACTACAAGATTGGACTTACACAGGATCAGCCCTACCCTGAGCAGAAGCCTAGGTAAGAACAACCCATGGCTTGTTATAAAATATGCATTGCATGATGATGTATGGACCATGAGAGTGTAGGGATTATACAAAAACTTATAATGTGAATAATAATCAAACTATTATGGAGAAGTGTAACATGCAACAAATGTATCTGCTTTAGCCAAAAGCTTCACAGCAAATACCAGGTAAGTGGTGTACTGAAATATCCTATGTGAAACAGCCAATAGCATAGTTAATAGCTGTCACTTATTGGAACAGACAGCCAAAGGAAAAGGCACATTTATTACTAGTTACTACATTGGCTTAGTTTCATTCTAGGCCATTTGTAAAACATGGAAGTGCAGGCTAGTCAATTTACCTTTCAGATACCCTGAAAACATTTTCTACACATAAATTATTTACCTTTCAGATACCCTGAACACATTTTCTACACAGAAACTAAGCCACCTGATGTTTTCTTCAGATAATGTTATGGTCAGAGTTGTCATAACATACAGCCAGCGACATGGCCAGTGACATGAATGCCTAAGTGATCATAGGATAAACCATCCTGCCCAACAACCAAATTGCACCAGGGATTAAGGACAGGTCATGCAATGCCATTACATGAATATCAGGCAGAAAACCTTTAATTCACTTATCAGGAAAGTTTGATGTCTACTCCAATCACTTGAAACAGTTTAACTATTGATCATATATATTTATGTAAGAAGAAAGGGCATCATGACTGAAACTGAACTCACCTTGAGTTAGACACGCAACATGAAATTATAAAATTTAACACTGATCACATATATAGCATAAAAGCTGATGGCAGCCTCATTTTCAGGCCAATGCCCTGCATGCATGACTGTAGAGCTTAAGAAAATGTTGTCAAAATTTCTGCATACAGCAGGGGCAGTGCCACCTGCTACATTCTTACATAAGCAGAGGATACAATGTTGACATGGGACCTTATGTCACATGTTGACTGAGACAGAACCCAAATTGTTTTACAAATGTATGATGCCCTGCATCATGCTTACCCTTGATGTCGAGAAGGTCCTTGCACCTTTGGGAATAACCCCGTAAAGGCCTAACAGTCGCATCATCTTGTGGGTTCAGAGTAGTACCCGCGTAACTACAACCTGCCACCTTCGCCGGGCGCCTCGATAGACACCACACGCTTCCAGGCCAATACTTAATCCAAGTGAGTGCAAGACCACCACCGCTTCACAGACACGAGCGACAACAACACCCCTGTTTAAAACTAAGCGCTTATTCCAGGCAGATCACCTGTAATTTACGAATGATAACCCCACTCGCGGACCACACCATGGACCAGCGGGACCGGCCGCCCTCCTCTCAGCAGACGTCACTGCACTATAAATAACTTGCGCGCCATGGAACGCCGCCTCCGCGCCGTCCTCCGAAGCTCACTTTATAGTACTGCCACAACCGTCAAAACATCAGCCGGGGAGAGACGACGAACCGAATGTCAAAGTACCACTTATTACTCGGTCTTTCTCTCATAACTTGTCGGTTTAATGCTGTCACATGTCTGCTTTAAAATTGTCCCTGTTTATTTAACGATGTAAAGAGCAAAATTATGCTATTAATACCTAAATAATTGTCATGTTTTTGGCAGTGTCTAGCAAAAACATGATAATGTTTTTGCTCTTTGACCTGGTGGTGCGAATGTGGCGAGTCGACATAGCAAAAGTAAGATTTATCCGCCCAATAAGCAAACAAATTAAAACAATCGGTGTCAAAGGTTTTCAAACACAAGTCATAGCACACAAGCCCAAGCAACACCAGCATTGATGTTCTAGACGGTGTTCCTTTTCATGCAACCTCGCCGACTGCAAAGTTTAATTTCGCATGCTCTGAACTTGTCCCATTCTCCTCCCACGTTTATGGTTTACGCACCCACGGCGGCAGGGCCCAGACTGAGCCGACGCAACAGTTGTCTAATTTGTTCTTCCATGAATGAGTGACACGTTCTGACTTAAAACAGCGCATTTCCAAGCCTGAAAAATCCTAAACAAAGGGAGCAATCCGTCTTAAACAATTACGTTCGTTTTCTTTGCACGTGGCATTATGGACACATTTGCAATTGCGAGCGTCACCGTCAAGAGTCTGGCACACCTTTTTTGGATCCCTGTTAAGCCAAAGCTTATATAGTGAACAAATATTGTAACATAGAGCCATCCACTGGCACAAAGGTAGCTGATAAGCGACAAGGAAGAACACGGATTCCCTAGTTCTTCGACCTTAACGGCTTTCGTTTCAAACTATCCAGTGATGAGCCTGTAAATAGTTCACCATGATAGAACATTAGGCCATCAGCACAATGCACCACACGGCCAAATCAGCCGACCACACTGCCAGACAGGAGTATGCAGGCCTAATGCCAGTATTTTCTACAGGGTGATCAGGAGAATTCACTTTTCAACAGTGCAGCGCATTTAACCGAATTCTGCAAAATCGCTCAAAATATAATGTATACCTCTTAGCTCTGGGTTGGGGACATGACCTCATCGCTTCGTGCCCGGCAGTAAGAAATGACTGGCAAAATGACTCCCGCGTCAAACTTGAAGGGCATTGAAGACGTGCTTCCCTGAACAGTAATGCTGTGACCTACCATGGTTTTGATGGTCTTCCCGAGAGCGTCGCTTATCAGACAGAAAGACACAAAGTGTTCATGCGTTTCAGTTTCGCAGATCGTTTCCGTAAAAAATTAAATGGGGGCGGCAGCCCGAACAGCCCGGCACGGAAATGCTGTTAGAAAAGCCGCAGCAAGGGATTATGAACGATATTCCAACAGCCTTTATCAGAGAGCAGCTATCAAATCGCAATTTTGGACCAAAAATGGTTTGCTAGATTTGGGCAAGCAGACTGCGTAGATCTACAACTTCGCCCATCACGAAACACCACTGCATTGGCCGTTTTCAAGTTCCTTTGAATGTACTCATCGACATTAGTAGTCCCACACATTGCATCATTGATTCGAGGTGTCGGGCGGAACAGAACTTGAAGCCGAAACCGGTCATCACGTAAACATAGATCGGGGCGATGCCATGACGTCCCAGCGAAGCCCTGCATCCAGGAATCTGACGGGACGTGATTACCGGGCGGGCGGCGATGCCGCAGACGGCGGCAATGGCGCAGCGCGCGCTGGCCGCCGTCCACGGCCCGCTCCGAGCCCAAAATAAACAGCGCCCTGCAGCCGTGCAGAGGCTCGACTCGGACGCGGGGCTCGCGCCGCGCCAGCCACGGCCGCCAGCGCCGTCCGCCGCCCTCGTCGCCACTCACCGTCATCTCTGGCAATCAGCAGGGGTGTGGTACGGCCGTCCGTGCTCAAGTGCTCGGCTGCAGTGACAGGAGCCACGATCGGACGCCTCCAGTTACACCGACGGGCTCACTCAGCTGCTCCGGGCCGGCAGACGCGCGACAGGCCCTCCGCGCGGCACGCCGAGGAAGGGGGAGGGGACGACCAGGCCCTCCTCGCGCCCGGCCCGCCGCGCCGCTGCTGTAAACAGCGCCGACCTTGAGCCGCCGGCGTCATGGCCCCAGCGACCGCAGCGGAGGTATTCGCGAGTACGCGCGGCACCTCGGGGACCGGCCGGCGCTCGCCGTAGTCAAGGGGCGGCAACAAGGGGGGCCGGCTAAACCCCCTCGAACATTAACCGAATCGCTTCGCGTGTTGACAGAAATAACCAAAATGTCTATAAACGGCTAAACGATCCACCAGTTTCGGAGGGCTCCCACTCCACTGCTAAGAGTCTAGCATACATATTCATGAGCTATTTTTTATCGCTTCAGATATGGACACCGTTTTGGTGCAAATACAATTCTTTTTGTTCATAGATTTCGATGAATTTTGTGAGCAGTGACGACAGAGCCATCAATTCAACAGATTTTGACACTTACTAACTTAAAATGTTATCTTGTTTTTCCTGAGCTGACAGAAAAGCAACGTTCCGAACAGTGGGTGTCGGCCCAAACAAGTACGCAAACAACACCGGGCATATCGGCGACTTTGCGCCATGTCTGGTTGCAATGTCATAGGCCAAACACCGCATAATGGGAGTACCACTCACATAATGCACTACACCGTCCGCTCCCTTTGGGTTTCCGCTGAAGCTAAAACTTTGCAGAATTATCACGCCGTAAAAAGCTCCCGACAAACAGAAGGCCACTGAATGGAAAGGAGGGAGCATCCCATGTCTTTCTGCTTACCTTACCCGAGCATTGTTTACTAGACGCGATGTTTTTCGCCCCACATCCCCAAACAACATTGTTCGTTTTTGGACGTTGAGCCACGTCTCCAATGTTGTTTTGATCCTAGGATAACATCAGATACTTGAACCCGTCTCACCAGCTGCAATCAGTGGCGCTGGCGGAGAGTGGTGCACAGGAGGCACGTGCCCCTTCCCCGCCTAGGTCCTTGAAACCGATGATCAACGACCTGATTGACGGGCAGAAATGTCCGAGAGGCTAGTTTGAGGTCGTGTTCGGGGGCCCGATCCGCAGAGATAGGCCCTCAAATGCCAGTCAGAGAGCTCTTTGCGCCGATCGGACCTCCTGAGGTTACTAGAGACCCTGTGTCAGTCAGGCATCACCAGTGCCGCACAAACTGCTCCGTGCTGTATGGGTGTGAGCGACGACTTCCCAAGCTAAGACGAAGCCAGAGTCGGCGATGTGCAGGCCTGTAGGCCAGGGCCTTAAATGTACCTCAAGGGGCTTCTTTCACCGATTGGGAAACCTCTGGGACACTGCGGGCCTCTAATTCCGCCAGAGACCACAGATCTGAATCACCGAATCGGCTCCGTGTTGGTCTAAGCTCTGGGACCCATTTCTTAACAGGAACTAAGCCGGGGACCGGGTTTTACATTAGTAAGTGTCCCTGACACACTGAGGGGCTCTGTGTCGGTCAGGAGCCCACAATGCCTGACAGGGGGTCTAGCATCGGATGGAGGTCCAAAAGTCGCTGGGGGAATATATGTTAAACAGAGACAGAGACAATACCCCAGAGGACCGACGCCGCGTGCCTAGGGAGACTGCAACGCCGGGCGCAAGGGTTTTTGTTCCAAGACTTGTGAGCATGCGTGTCCAGCATACACGTAAGAACGTTTCAAAACGTGTGGCGGGGGGGGGGGCAAGCTCAGGGTGTACTTCCGCAACTTTTTCTGGAAAGCAAGCCCGATTACCGGGAGGGGGGGGGGGAGGGTAGCGATGGAGGCTGTTATCGCTCTTGATTCAAATGTCATGGCTGCTGTGCTAGATATGCATCTAGAGCTGATTCTCACTGGTGCACAGTCTTGTCTATTCGACTTATCTGTCACTTGGCAAATAAGGCTATCCAGCTTCCCAAAATTATTCGTCACCATTTTAAAACTGTTTTTCCTGGGGAGGCGGACTTCCACGGGCAGGTATTTTGGGTCATTGAGGAAGCACATGCCTCCGCCGTGTAGATGCCAAACTACGGCCTGGATATAGGCTGGTAATAATTTTTAAAGTGGATCGATGGCTCACAGTGTCCGACATTTTTTTTTTCATGCGCCTTCATTTCGCTGGCTGCTTTTCAAGAGACTTGGAGCAGCATTTTAGGCGGACACAAATTCGGGAGCTTGAAAATGCCAGAAATAATGTGACAAAAGCCAAAAGACTGGAGATTCTATCTTAAGGACCAAGCCACATAATGAGACCCATCTGTCACATGTTCCTTATCTGGGCCCTGCTCCTGTCCGCCGTCGGTGGCCACTGCCCTGGCCCGAATGTCTCCCGCATGACTGACTGCGAACTGATCGTATGGCTGCTTTGTTGCATACTTTTGGATCAGCGTTACTACTGCATGGTGTATGAAACATGTGTTGGACACCTGCAACAGCATCTTTTTCCGAATGATCTCCCCTTACACCCCAGCATCGCAGAAAAACAGCATCCGGGAAGCTGTCTGGCTTAGGTATGAACTGGCCCAACGGACACTTCAATGCCCATCATGCAACGTATACGACTTGATCTGCTTTTGTGTGTAGGCAGAGGCGTGGTCAGGACCTTGCCCAGGGGGAGCACAAGGTTGACAAAAGCCCATCTTGTGGTGATCCCCCAAACATCCCCGGTTATAGCTTACTTGTTAACAAGTGACACGGTTTTCTTCGTTTTATTGTTATTTTTACCTTGTGACCAAGACAGAAACCAGGAGCTACCGTGAGCTCAATTCTGCTTGTATTTTGAGGTCAACAAACTGCAGAAATCAGACGTTGATCTACTGCATGGAATAAACCACCGGCGCTCTTAATCTATAATGGTTGGTTGACTCTTTCTAAGCCGATAGAATTCAGAAGATTTGTCAGATTTTTATCTGGATTCTGCAGACGTTGAGGGCATCGCAAATGTAGATTGTAGATCGATATGTTTGATCAAAATTTGAAGATGAAAATTTGATTCCAGATCGAGTGGTCAACAATGTGTATAAACATGGCCAAGCCATCTTTGAAAATGTTCACCTTTCAGTCAGAATCGATTAGTGATACAATTCATGTGATGCGTTTTTTTAACATGCTCGCTCGCAAATTTTAGCAACAAAAACCTCGACACCGGGGGTTGCAGCCTCCATAGTCCGCTGAGCGTTAGCCCAGTAGCTAATTCTTAGCCGTGGCCCACCGGTGGACGAAAATGGGTGTGCAATTTTTAGACTAACGAAAAGAACGGATTGGTCCTTACAGCACCGTGAGTGGAGCTGGATTATGGTGATTGAACTGGACGAGTAAAGGTAGCATCTCTTTTTTTCGTGTTTTTGCAGCTATTCATCTATTCAGAAGACAGATTAACACGGCGCCCGCCGTCTGGTGGCACTTGCAGTGGCCGAAACTTTTCGGTTTTACGGAAGTTGCAGCCCAGATCATCCTTGTTCTTGGTCTCGAGGTTGCGGGCCGGCATGCTCAAGCCTTTTGATGTAATTTGTTTCAATAATACATTCTGAAAAACTTTCTCAAGCAAACATGACGTGACCCTGCTCGTTTTTTAAGCCAATTTCGAGCCACCTTTTCATTAATACGAGACCCCACTCTGCTCAACAATGAGACCCCTTATTTCCTTTCGAGCAGGGGGCCTCTCGGCTAGAAAACCAGGGGTACATTACCGTTTCTGGTCAAGTGCTGAAGGGTCATTCCGTCCCTTCGCTGAGTGTCTTCTGGCTATCATCCTGGTGACACGGGGTGGGATCTCTTGGTCGATCCGGAGGCCATTAGGATATATAAACTCACATTGTTCCCATCCCTGACACGGGAGGCCTTCTGACCCGCGCGTTTAGCCCCGGATCAGCACAGGAACCCTCATTGACGTAACCACATCCCTGATCACCGAAGGTAGTCCAATAATTGTCACAAAGGCTCCAGTTCCGTGTTTTTCTGTGTTCTTCATATATATTGAGTTCTCCCTGACCGTAGATTAGAAATAAAATGGGGTTCCCAATTTGTATTAACATGGCCAACCCATGTTTGTCTTAAGCTGCTCAAGATCCTGTCAGAGCTGATTACTGATCAGAAAGCTGCGTAATATGGCCTTGAACATGCGCGTTCGTAAGTCGGCAGCAACAGCCTCGACGCCCTGCGTTGCAGTCTCCAGACCGTGGGGCGTCGGCCCTGTGGCTGTAAAACTGAGCGATGGCCAGTGAGCAAACGAAGAAGACGACACGTCTTAAGGGCTGGTGAACTACGTAAATCGGCATGCGTGTTTAATGTGTTGCAAAGGTAAGCCAAATGCAACCTTAATCTGAAAAGTGGGGGGGGGGGCAGTTCACATTGCTGGCCCCCCACTTTTCAAATCGGGGGAGGGGGGGGGGGCATGGCCCCCCCGCCGGCCTGTTCCTACGCCCGTGGTGTCCAGAACTATGTTATGTATTATTTTTCAGAACTCACCTCCGAATTAACATTGGCCGCTCACCGTGAAAATGTGTTAGCTATGTTAATACAAATCTTTAACCCTATTGAATCCAGGATCCAAGCTCACTGAGTATGTTAATCAATCCAGTCAATTAAGCCAACCTACTTTCGCCGGTATCTCTGTACGGCTTAGAAAGTTCTGGTGAAACCCGTGTGCGCTACCGATTAAGAAAGATTCCACTGAACCTTTGTAAAGTGAATAACGCCGACGGTTTATTGCTTGCAAGATATTAATTCGCTGTTTATTCAGTTTGTCGACTTCAAAACACGAGAATCATTGCATCTGCCAGTGACTGCTTTGGCTTTTTTTCCAGTTAAAGCAGTTAAAATACAAAGCGACGAAAATTGTGCAGCTCGGAATCAAATGGGCCAAATTTGGTGATTCTCTTGCTAGCAATCCTTCCGTCACACTGTCATTTGTGATGATGCATGCTCTTCGTATGCCCCGAAGTCCGAAAGAACGGTGCACACAGATAAACATCGATCAAGGATGCAACTAGCATGCAATAACCTCGGCAAAAGTGTTACTGAAACTGACTCCTTCGGTCAGATTGCCATGACAAGGCATACAAAATATGTTGGTCATAATGCGCTGATCGTGAAAACACAGCGAATAGCATAAAGCCGACGGCAGTCCAGACTGTGCGTTCCAAGCGCGGTTGAAGTAAATGAAATGCCTTCCCACTTTTTCGGAATAACGTCTACAGACGCAATCCAGTTTCCTTGGTTTCGCGCGTCCTAGAAAGCCACGACCACATCCTTTTCTACATCTCAAGGAAACATCCACAGCACTCCTGGCGATGTATTGTCCACCCAAACCGCAGCACCAACTCACAACCACGCCGCCCGTATCCCTGAGAGACCACAGTCCCCACAGGTGGTTTGCCGACGGACCAGTCCCCACAGATGATCTGCCGACGGACCACAGTCACCACAGCTGGTTTGCCGACGGACCACAGTCCCCACATCAGGTCTGCCGACGGCCCACAGTCACCACAGCTGGTTTGCTGACGGACGACAGTTCCCACAGACGGTGTGCCGGCGCTAGCTCCGCGCGCCCCGCCGGCAGCCGGCTACGGCGGCAGGCACAGCTCGGCGAACCGCTGCCGGCCGGCGTAGTCTGAGTGCGTGTGGTCGTGGCGGAGCGGGCTGCCGGAGTCGGCCAGCAGCCCGCCGAGCCGCGCCGGCTGCGCGGGGTCCAGCTCCAGCAGGAGGCGGCCGCCGGGGCGCAGCCAGCCCGGTGCGTGGCGCAGCAGGCGGCGTGTCACGCGCAGCCCGTCCGGCCCGCCATCCAGCGCCGCCCGGTCCTCGTACCTGCGATGCGGTGCCAGTCAGCGGCGTGGGTCACGCGGCCCCCCGGCCTGCGGGGCGGCAGTCGCCAGCTGGCGGGACTGGGTGGGATTCAGCCGCGCTGGCAGGACTCTGGAGGGACGGCGGGAGTTCCGGCCGCTCACAAACAGCGGACAAACGCAACACGACTACAGCGAGCGGAACACTTCTCAAGACGGCCAACAACAGACCGAAATATCCGGCTTCACTGACGGATGGGCTGGAGGGATCAAGATGCGCAAGAGTTGCAGTAGTGCGTAGGCTTGCGAGCCATAGTGTGTGGCTCTCAAACTGCGGGAGGTGAGGGAATGCCATGCGGCCCGATACTGCGCACCTATCTCGCAGCTTTCAGCTTGAGAACCACACACGACTGGCGTACTTCTCTGTGGGTCACCTGACTTATACCGAGCCAATAGACCTGTACCTGTCACACAAACGAGAACATTTGTATAAAATATTCGTATGAGCTCTGTCGTCCGACGGGAGTTCACCTTCTCGCGGGGTCCGTGGCTGACCGCGATACAATGAATACGACTCAACTCAATTTCACGTGTGACCTTGGATAGATGCAAGTCCGATCACATACTCAAAGCGTGAGCTGGACTCGGTTTGGTCACTACCCATACGCTGTACGTACGGTAATCCCTAACTTTCTCCACAAGATCCGAATAATTGGGAAACCACAGGCTCATGGACCTGAACTCCATGCCAACTCTGCACTCTCTCAAAACGCTACACAGAACATCACAATACCTCTGCATTGTTCTGCATTCCTACGACGTGAGAGGCCAGAGGCCGGTAGACAGTGCTCTTGATATGAGTCACTCAGTTAGTTCACTATTCATCTTGGGAGGAAGAAGATTTTACATTTATGCTTAAAGTCGCGTTTGCCTTGTTCATCTTGAAAACCAAACAACATCCTCATTTATGAGATCTCTTTCGAGATACACATATCCGCGTCAGTATCCCTAAAGGGAGATCAGAAAAAGGCAAAGAAAACTTCAGTCTGGATCCCATCTGGCCCGTACACCCGCGTAGGTAACTCAGTGCGAGGCGACCAATCAGCGCGGCTGCTCACAGTAGTATCTCGGGCTGCAGCCGGCGCAGCTCCGCGGTCGTCAGGTAGGGCGGGTTGCTGACGACCAGGTCGTACAGCTGGCGGTGCTCGCCAGGCAGGCTGTCCTCGGTCAGCGTGGCGTTATACACCCGCAGCCGGTCCTCGACGCCCAACCGAGCCGCGTTCTCCTCCGTCAGGCGGCACGCATCGGCCGACTGGTCCTACTGCCACCGACTGACACCTGGCGGTAGCGGCGACAAGCTACAGTTTGCAAGGTGTATGATAGGTTTCGCTGAACGCGGCACGCAGATTGCTCGCCTTCCCCACCACTCCCCAGCGTCGCCATCACCATACTGCGCGACAGCAGGTGCGGTCCACACCTGGATAGGTCGACCGATAAACACTCAGCATACTCAACCGTGCATCAAGGTAGAACGCGGTTCAAGACTGGGACCTGCACCCAGTCCTCGGCCATCAACACACAGCGATGGAAACTGACGGAAGGCAGTCCTGCACCGACCTAGACAGGCTGTACACCGATTACCCCTGCATGGGACCGGCGGCTGACGAGTTAGGTCAGCCGTTACTCACGTCCTGCAGCCAGTGAAGCAGGGCGACGGAGAGCGCGCCGGAGCCGCAGCCGACCTCGAGCAGACGGCCGCCGCCGCGCTGCCGCAGCCGCTCGGCCGCCAGCTGGGCCAGCTGCTCCGTCTCCGGCCGCGGGATGAAGACGGGCGGCCGCAGCTTCAGCGTCACGTCGCAGAAGTCCCACTCACCGATGATGTACTGCACCGGCATCCTGTGGTGAAGAGCGAGCGGCCCTTGGCACGGGCTACCAAAGGGTTGTTTCGTCTAGCGCCCTGTACCTGCGCCTGAAGTCATCTAATTTTTTAAGCACTCTCAAAACTACGTGTGAAAACCGAGACTACTTAGCTACAGTTCCTCCAACACTGCAGGAAAATAAACGCCAGAACAACACAACATAAATAAAGAGGTCACAAAGAACGGAGCATAACCACAGACATTTTAGAGATGGGGACCGACTGGTAGCTTTGCGCCGCTCATTGCAGATTATGGGTAGCTATGTGCCTATGCCATTTTGCTCTTTAACTGGGCACACAATCTGCTTGTCACCTTACTTGTGAAGACGACAGAGACAGAAACGCTCGAGGTTTTTACGTTGTCCTGCATCCAGCTCTGTTTCGGCCAAGCGAGCCAAATCACCCTACAAGTAAGCAATATGTCATCAGTGATTGCCTGGTTACGGAATATATGGCACATGTTCACAAACTGTCATCGCCAGGGCAACATCCCAGTTCCTTTCAGACAGAATGCTGCCTGAAAACAATGCAGAATGCTATTTAAGTGCAAAAAAAGCACAGTTGTACACCCCACAGCTTGTCATAAACATGCTGCCTGAGAAGAACAAATCAACCCAGTTTGGTGCCCTGAAATACACCATTTACTACAAAATGACACAAATAGAAGAACTTAATCAAAAATGAAGAGATGAGTCAAAAATGAAAATTCTCAAAAAGGTGCCCAACATCTTTTCAGCATTTCTTCAAACACATTAAAACACTCAGCTCAAAAACATTGTCAGTTTTAAATCCATGAGACAACATAAAGGGATGCCAAGCATTAACTACAACAGCTTTTAAAACACACTTTTAGGGGTCTTACTAGCCCAGTCTTCACATCTTATGTTTGGATCAAAGCTGAAAACAGCTGCCATGTGCAAAAATAACCAAGTTCATTTTCATGTAGATATACTAACATAAGCACCAGTTTATAATTAACATACTTACCCTGGCACATTTGAGTACAGCACTCATGATATATTGCACTGATTCAGCTGGCTCTGAAACCTTTGATTGAATAAACTGTGACTTCCAAAATTGCAGCAGGCTTTGCACCTTGTTAGAAGCTTCTTGTCCAGAAAGTTGGCTCAAGTTGCGCACACAACTGACAATCTTGCAAGAAAAGCCATGACAGTGAAGCCATCGCAGCTTGCAAAATGTGGATGGAGGAAATACATGCATGATCTGAAATATGTAAAATAGTGATCTTTAAATATCTTCAAAAGCCCAGTTTGGAGACCAGGCAAGGAAGTGTGGATGCGAATAGGAATACATATGATAAATGGATCGAAAGGAGCCATCCACATATCACCATTCACATAGCATAGCATGGCTATACTATGTGAATACACCACACACCACAATGCCCACCAGATGTTAATGTGATTTTTGCCCTTGCTGGGATGCTTTGCAATCCATTCAGGGTTGAATGAAGTCAGAGTGTGGCAGCTGATACTGAGAACTGCAGCATATTAAAATTTGAACACAAAAACATGCAGTGAAACTAGATTTTCAAGAATATATGGTGTGGTTAGGACACACAAATAATCCTCCTCAGCTTAGACCCTATTCCCAGAAATCAGCCAAAATGGCATGACCTAACTTAATACAAATCAAACAGAAAACCTTAATACCCTTCTAAACACCAGGAAGGAAATGGTCCCACTAGATTTCAGTTAAGGCAAGCACAACATAGACTACAGCATGTTCAATGGTCCGTACCATGGGCATATATACATTTTAATAAGTGTAATGCAAGCACACTCATAAATTCAACACTTCACAAGCGTCAACGTGGGGCAATAAATAATGCAGTTAAAACTAACTGTATGGCTGACCATCGCATTGAGGTTTTTTTATTTTGTTTTTGGTGGGCCAATGCGAGGCCTCTTTTTTCCCTCGACGGACCTAGCCACCTCGGAGGGGGGGGGAGGGGAATTTGCTTCCAGCACACGGCCAGGCATCGATTACGTTCAACCGGCTCATGCTGTCTGGCGCAAAGCCAGGGAGAGGGTATTCGTAAGTGACGTTACGTCAACCTGGCTCATTTTCGTCCAGCAAGATCTTAGCAAGTAAATCAGGCCGCAGCAGCAGATATATTTATTTCATGACGGCATAGCACGCATTCAATACGTTTGAACAAGTGAGTCTCCTCACTGGCCCTTCACAGCCGTATGCACAGTATTGTAATCTGCCTTACTCCTGGGGTGCCGTGCGTCCTGTGTGGGGTGTCCGTGCCAGCGATGGCCTTGGCTCAGCTGACCTGTCGGCGACCTGTGCGATGGATGGATACCAGGGCCGCTTCATCGCAGCAACGGGGAGATCAGCCCCGGGCTCCGCTGCCCAGCACGACCTTGTGGTGTTGTGTGATGTTATTGAATCCTGGAAAGTCGTAACTAAGAAAAACCAGGAATCCTGGCCAATGAGGAAAACCCTGCAATCTTTGCCAAATTATGCAGGAAAAAAAACCCTTTATTCAAATGAAGATATCTGATCCTGTACTGTGTAAAAACTCAGAGAGGAGAACGATCAAATCAGGATAAGAATCACCGAGGAGAGAATTGAGATTGGGTGGAAGCCGATAAGCGTTGGTGTAATTGATGAGCGGCTGTCTTGATCGTTGATATACCGGACACACGAGGAGGAAGTGATTTATTTTGAAAGGGATGCCGCAGCGATGGCACAGTGGTGGAGTGAGTTCGAAAAGGTGGCAGTGGGTGATTTTGGTGTGACCGATACGCAGTCTGGCAAGCAGCACTTCCTTCAGGCGATTATCTTGATTGATTGTTGGCCAGTGCTGAAGTATGGGTTTGATTGGGTGAAGGTGGTGATGAGCGCGCTGATCCCATTCGGATTGGAGAAAGAGACGGAAAGGTAAATTGATAGTTGCTAGAATATCAGAAACGGGACAATGAAGATGATTACGTTCCGGAAGCATGAGACTTCGTTTTGCTTCCTGGTCAGCAGTGCTGTTTCCACGAATATTTGCGTGTCCAGGTATCGAAAGAAATATTATGGAGTATGTTGAGGAAGGGAGCAGAGCGTTCGTCGTATGCCGTTTAAAGTTGGGTGGGATGAATTATGGAGAGTGATGAGAGCTTGCAAGGACGAATGAGAGTCGGCGCATATGACTGCCCTTTGAAGATGACCTTGCTTGATGTAGAGCAGGGCTGCCAGGATTGCTGTTAGTTCAGCCGTATACACAGCATTGTAATTTGACAGGCGGTTTGATTTGTGGTAATTATGATGTACGAAGGCAGCTCCTGTGCGACCATCGCGTCGGGAGCCGTCAGTATAAATAAAGGTGTGCTGGTCATATTCTCCTTTGAAATCAGCGAAGGGTGCATGCACTTCAGTTTCTGATATGTTCCGTTTTTTGTGCTCAAACAGAAAGATTACGTTAGGTATAGGGTCGCCCCAAAAGGGTCCGGGACTGGGAGTTGGGTTGCAGGGAATGTCGGGGAGATTAAGCGCTCGCTGCGCTCGAATAACACGAGTGCTGATGGTTGGATGCTGGAGTTCCGCGTTGGTAAGTGTGCGGTTGGGGCGGAGGCGTGCGAGGGCGTTGTATGTTGGGTTACCAACGTGGCCTGTGGCGCATGCGTAAAACCTGAGAAGTTGTAATTTTCGCCGGTGTGATAAGGAGGGGATATTCGTGTCCGCGAGCAGATTTGGGACCAGGGAGGTGCGAAGTGCACCAGTCACTATGCGGAGGGCTGCGTTTTGGATGGTCTCCAGGGTTTCGACTTTGTTGGAAGAAATGTCATAAAAAAGAAAGCCATTATAGTCCAAGATCGGGCGTATCAGGGAGGTATAGAGGCGGAGGAGAGTGCGTCTGTCGGCGCCCCACTCCCGCCCTGCTATGCATTTCATTATGTTCAATCGTCTGGCGCATCGTTGCTTAAGGTCAGCAAAATGGGCATTGAAAGTAAGACGACGATCTAATGTTATTCCGAGGTATTTCAAACCGTCAACTAGAGGGATAATTTCACCATTAAGATTCCGGGGGGTGGGAGGTTGAACGTTATTTCGCCTAGAGAAGATAATTACAGCTGACTTTGTGGGGGGAAATCTGCAGTCCCCACTGTGCACACCAGGCGTGAATATCATTTACAGCTAGTTGTATATAATGCAGTGCGCGATCGACATTAGCATGCGTCTGCCACACAGCTAGCTCGTCCGCGTATAAAGAATACCGAAAATGTGGAGAAATATTATTAATATTATTGAAAACATCATTTATCATCACAAAGAAGAGGGCTGGAGATAAGACACTACCCTGAGGAAGACCGTGATCCTGGGTCATGGGAGGAGAATAAGTATTTCCGCAACGCACCGAAAACGTCCTATCAGTTAGGAAGCTTTTAATGAAAGCGGCGAGCCGACCACGAACTCCAATTTCATGTAGTTTAGTGGGGAGGGCACTTTTATTCACCCTGTCGAAAGCGTCCTTTAAATCCACGAATAACGCTAACGTAGTAGATTTGGTCGGGACTCCGAGCTGAATTGGATCTGTAATGTGGACCAGGCTGTCCGCCGTGGAGCGGCCGGGACGAAAGCCGTTCTGAAAAGGTGAAAGAAGGGGATTTGACTCAAGGAACACCCTGATACGTCCGTTGACCATTCGTTCGAATATTTTAGAAGCACAGCTAGTAAGAGAGATGGGGCGATAGCTCAAAGGGTCAGAGGGAGGCTTAGAAGGTTTAAGTATAGGGATAAGTGTGCTAGAGTGCCATGAGGGAGGGAAGGAGCCGTGAACCCACACATCGTTGAAAGCCGACAGAAGGTTGGTGAGTCCTGACCTAGTAAGATTTCTAAAGAAGGGGTAGGCTAACTGATCTGGACCGACAGAGGTGCTTCCGCACTTACTGATCGCAAGGTCCAATTCATAGGGTGTGAAGAGTACGTTGAATGCCTCAGTGTTGGCAGACGTGAAGTTGAGTGCGAGCAGTGTGGCATTAAGTGTGCTAGTGATCTGTTGGGAATACTGCTGGGATGATGATACACGGGCGAAGTGTGTGGCAAATTTTGTGGCGACTTCGAATGGGATGCTGTAGTGTTGGTTGATGACTACAAGGTGCGGAGTTTTATAATGTGGCGTGCGTTTGTTTGTGAAACACCGAATCAGTGGCCATATTTTAGAAAGAGGGGTAAAGCGATTGAACGTATTTGAAAATTGCTCCCAGCTTTCCTGTTTTGCGCGTTTAATAATTATATCGGCTTGATGTTTAGCCCTACGAAACTCCTCTTCATGAGCTCTGCAAATGCAATTACGAAAGGCACGCATAGCCCGGCGTCGCAGGACTAATGCGCGCTGACACGCATCGTTCCACCAGGGTGCATGTTTGTGCCCTGGTCGACGATGAGTGTGTGGAACGAACTGGTGCGCCGAGGCTAAAATAGTGTTTAGAAATGTGGGGAGGTCGGGAGTTGCGCCTGACGGGTGTGCCTCATCTACATACTTTGGAAAGATGCCCAGTCCGCTCTGCGAACATTCCATCGGGGAAGAAAATTGAAGTATATTTGACCTGATGGGACCTCTAAATTTATGCGGATCGGGTAGTGGTCACTAAAAAGCGTGTCTGATTGAACATTGTGCGTAAAGAGTGGTGCTATGCGTGGTGTTGCTAAGGCTAGATCTATAACAGTGTGTCACTGTGCCTCTGCGGTGATGTGCATGCGTAGGTGTCAGTTCGTTGATACATATGAGGTCATGAGTGTCCATGAGTGTGTGAAACTCTCCCCCTTGCTTGTGTCGTGCTACAACCCCATGCGCGATGATGGGCGTTCAGATCCCCAAGAAGGAGACAGGGCGAAGGAATTTGAGCGAGTAAGGCGGAGAGATCAGCTGAGGAGACAGGGCTAGTGGGGCTAATGTATATAGAAAGAAGAGTAAGATCTAACTGTGCTAATTTTACGTTTATTGCAACTGAATTGAAATGAGTATTACAATGAACTTGACGGTGCAAAAGGTTATTTGAGGCAAACAAGGCCGAACCGCCTCGGCGCGGGGTTTCGTTTACGTTATGTGTGTAGAGGCGATAACCGTTTATCTTAAAGCTATAATTAAAAGAATCCGAGTCGTTAAATCAGGTCTCTTGAACGGCGGCTATCAATGGTTTGTTTTTTATCATATATTCCTTGAATTCTGCCCAATGGGATACCAGAGATCTCGTATTCCATTGGAGCAATAATTCACCGAACTGGGGATTCATTTAGGGCAGGGAGGGAGACCATCCAGCGGAGCGGCAGTGAGAGGGCGATCGAGGGGCGCGACGGCGGGAGCGCGTAACGGGTCGGGCTCGGCATTCGACTGAGGGACTGGCCCGGGGGGTTGGCGTCGGGAGCGCGGCGGTTGAGGCATCGGATGGGGCTTCTTGGGACACCGGCACGGGTGGAGTGGACCAACAGCGACGTGTTGGGGTGAGAGAGAGGCTCTCCGAGTTTGGTGGGGCGGGTTCCTGCTCAGGGAGGCTCGCAGCCGCCGGGTTCGCTGTGACTGGGTCGGCTGGCGCGGACTCGGTCATACGCAGCACTGGACGCGGCTGACCTGCTGGGGAGGGGCGACGTGCTGAGGAGGAGCGTTGTGCTGAGGCACAGCACTGGTTCGATACCTCAGGCTCCTCAACAGGACGTGGAGGAGGGAGGAGGCGCCGCCGCGGAGCTGGTGTTAAAGGGGGAGGATGAGGGTACGCCTCCCGCCGCGTGGGCCACTCCTGAGGCTGGAGCACTCGGACCGGTGCATAGGCCGCTGCCGCTGCCTGCTGCTGACGCTCGCGCAGCGCCTCGCGCTGCACACGCCAAGCGGGACAGGCGCGGCGGTCCCCAGCTGCGTGCGGGCCTTTGCATGTGGCGCGGCGCGGGTTTTCCGCGTCACAGTCCCGCGTGTGATGAGGGTCGGCGCAGCGGCCGCAGGTCGGGCGCGCAGCTCGGCAGGTCCGGTCAGTGTGGCCGAACCGTTGGCACGTGCGGCACTGCTGGGGAGG